TTTTTGTCGGTCGTGGGGCTTGAACTCTGGGCCTGGGCGCTGTCCCTCAGCTCTTCAGCTCAAGGCGAGCGCTCTACCACTTGAGCTACAGCACCACTTCCGGTTTTCTAGTGGTTTATTGGAGATAGGTGTCTCACGGTCTCTCCTGCCCGGGCTGGCTTTGAACCTTGATCCTCAGATCTCAGCCTCCTGAGTAGCTAGGATTACAGGTGTGAGCCACCGGCGCCCGGCTTGTTGTTGTTATTTAAAGGTGAAGTACAGAGGGGTTACAGTTCCCTAAGTCAGATAAAGAATACCTTTCTTTTTGGACAGCATCACCCCTTCCCTTACTCTCTCCCAGTTTTTCTCTCCCAACCCCAGACACAAGTTGTATAGTTCATTTTCCACAAAGTGTCCAGTGAGTACTACTGCTAATGCACACTGTTTGGGCTTGTATGCAAATGCATACCTGGAATACACATGAGTATATGTGACCCTATACCCAAGTACTTAATGTTTCCAGAACCAGGCCACAGACCTCCTGCCTGGAAGACAAGGTAAGGTGACAACATGTCAAAGGGTTGTGAGCTAAGCTAAACAAGGCAGGGACAGGGAGGGAGGGAAGGAAGGAGAGGGAGGGGGAGAGAGAGAGAGAGAGAGAGAATGCATGTACATGCATGCACAACAGGGAGACCTCAGGCCACCTCAGGGAAATCCCCCGATTCTCTGCCTCACCCCTCCCCATAGTTGATCCGACTTCTTTGATAGAATTGACATTTCCTGCCCAGTTACTCAGCTCTTGCTCAGTGGTTTCCTGTCTGTAAAACTCCAAGAAAGCCCTTCCTTGCCCAAGACTCAGGTTTGGCGATAATCTTGATAACCATCAAGATTGTCTCTGCCTAAGGAAGGTCAGCTTCCTGAGTTAGGGGTTCTCTGTCTTGGCTTTTTTATTGCCAGACAATATCCTATTCAGCCCTGTTTTCCTTGGGAGATTTGCTCTATCATCTAGAATAATGGCAGGACCTGACCCTGGCAGCAGGATTCCCGGGGGGGGGGGGGGGGGGGG